GCTTCGGGAGACGCCGGGCGGGCGGGCAGCGCCCACGGCCCCAAGGTCACGGCCCCGCCACGGCCCCAAGGTCACGGCCCCGCCACGGCTCCGGCTGGGGCACGCGCAGCCCGGGCACAGCCACCGCCGGGGAACTTGCCTGTCCCGATGATCCTCTCAATTTTAATACTGGCGTTATCCAGCTCTTTGGCAAAGAGGTGCACGGCCTGCATGGGGTCTTCGCAGGTGTCAGGGTCGATGTACGTTCTCCTGGTCGGTATTTTAACTGCAGGAAAAGCGAGAAAGGCGGAAAGGGCGTGTGAGAAAGGCTCAGCAGAGCTCCCCCCTGCCTGTCCCGGGACACACCCTCGCAGGTTATCCCCCTCCAGGTCTGCTGGCAGGACTAAGGTGACAGCAAAAGTCTCGGCTTTAAGGTTCCTAGGAAATTTCCTGTGGCATTAAATGAACCTGCTGCTCTGCTCCACTGCCACAACCCCTGGGTCAAAGGGCAGCAGCTCCTTCACCCTCGTGCAGGTCCCTCCCGGCCAGAGCCCGTCTGCCACCCGTGCTAATCCTCAAGTATCCAAATCATCTCCGTTTGCAAGACCCCCAGAAGAAGGAATTACGAACAGCTGCCATATTCCAGGTCCCCTCAATTTGCTGCATGGGCAGCAAAATACCTCGCAAAATACCACCCACGGGCACCTAATACCTGCTGCACGGCGAGCGACCCTGCCTGGGAGCCCGTCCAGGACCGCACGGACAAGGCTGACCGGGGCAGAAACAGCTGCCCGCTGGCCGGGGCTTCCTCAGAACCCTAATTCACATTTCCTGAAAACAAACACCCAAAACAACAGCCAAAGCTGGTGCGAGAGCGCTGCCGCGTCTCCTCCTCTCCCTGGGGAAGGCGAGGAGGACGAGGGATGTTCTTTCACGAGCTGCTGGGCCCGTCCAGGACCAGCACACGGGCAATGGGCAGAGCCCTGCTGCCCCTGGGGGGGTCACACCACGCAAGGCTTCCCCCTTCCGCATGGGCTCCACTCGCCTTCCCAGGGTCAGGCGGCTGCGGCGCTCCCTCGCCCTGCCCGGAAAACCTTCGGCAAACTCCCGAGGGCAGCTCGGCAGCGCCGGGCCCGGCAAGGCCGGGAGAAAGAGCCGACCCGCACCCGGGAAGCAGGCGGGCTCTGCTGCGTCTGAACAGCTTCGGGGAGCTGAAGAGCATGTGTGCGCTTCAGAGGCATATTTCAAGAGTCAAATAAACTCATCAGCCCTGACATCTGAACTTCCCTTGACAACTGCTGTCTGTAAAATTATTGCTGCTCAATAACCAAGAGTAGCCCCAGAAAACAAAGCTGTATTCTCGTGTAGCCGTTTGTGAAAAGCAGACGGAATAATTCATAGGCCCCGTGGAAAGCTGAGAGCATCCCCGACTGCTTCGGCACGGCGGTGACCTGTGTGCGGGGAGGACGGACGCTGGTTTATGAAGCTGTCAAGGCCGCTGCCCCCAGAGCGCCTCGCCGTGCCGAGCCCGGCTCTGGGGCAGTGCGGGATGACAGCGCTTCAACAGCCCGCACTTGGGGCCACTCTCCGGAGCAGAGTTATTAATAGCAATAAGACGGGGATGCCCTCACGGTGGCCAGGCTTCACTTACAGTGGAAGTACAGCTCCTCGTCCCCGTCCTGGCTGGCTTTGCTGTACCCGCACTGTCTGCAACAAGAAGGAAGACACACGCCGTTGCTGGGCAGAGCCTCTGGCAGATACAAGCCCGAAGCAGCGCTCGGGAGCGGAGCCGAGCCGCGGCACCAGGAGCCCGCGCGCGGTTCAACCCAGGTCCCGCGCCCAGAGCCAGCACCGCTGCCGGGGCAGCTCTGCGGGGGCTGCGCGTCGGCCCCCGCCCCGGCCCCAAACCCCCTCGGCCCGAGCCCCGGCTCTGCCCACCTCCTCCAGACCATGACGCCGATCACCATGGACACCAGCACCGTCAGCCCCGCGATGGCCACCACTGCGATGATGAGGACGGGGTTCTGCTCGCTGGAGGCCACCGTCACTGCGGGGGGAAGCAGACGGGTCAGCAGCGCGCCCGGGGCACGGGGCAGCCCCTGCGCCCGTCCTCCAGCAGCGCCAGGCTACTTCACCATCCTCACAGCATTTCGCACTCTGGTTCAGTTTTAAAAGCTCGAGCTGTTGCAGTCAGAGCAACACGCAGGGCAGCGCTGCAGGTGCGGACGGAGCAAACCCCGCGCTGCCACGCCGGCCTCCTGGTTTTGTTAATCAGCGCTGAGGAAAGGTTCCTGTTTATCGGAGGGACATATTAAAATTTATGGCTTACAAATAGTTTTCCTTCATCACATTAATCCCTTCCCTTCCTGCTTTTGCAAACAGGGGTATTAGAAAGCTACGTTCTATATAAAATTTTTATTGGCTTCAATTCATTCTGAAAATGTCTTCTGTGTGGCAAATGGATGCAATTTAAAGCCCTGTTAAACACAATCTGTGAGAGCCGTACTGAGCCAGCCATCTCAGAGCTTTCATTTCCAGCCAGAGTGGGTTATTAAGCTGAAGCCCTACCATCTCTCCAAGCCCCCTTTCAGTCAGTGAAACAAGATGCTTCTGGACTATAGTTATGAATGGAAAGAGAAAAGGAAAAGCCCCAGCCCACAGCCCCGATGCTGGCTGACCTTACTCAGCCACGTGGCTAACAAGCCAAGTGCCTCACGAGTCAGGACAGCGGCGGGGGTGAGCGGCCGTCCCCCACCTGGCGCACGTGTCCGCGGCCAGCGGGGCCTACGGGCCGGC